TAATTTGCTATTTAGGCCTTGTTTTATTGCTTGAGATTATTGAAATTATCTTATAGAAAATGATGTACCTATTAAATTGATCATTTGATTGTTGCATAATTATTATTTTTTATAATATATTTTTTAACTGCATGCGATCTAACAAATTAATTCTGCGTTCACTTGAAGTACAATAAAAAAACTTTGAGATATTATTTGAAGCACCAAACAATTGTTGAATCCTGCTTGCTTATAATCAAAAAGACGATCAATTCGTTGAGAGAAAACAAACATACCCATGATTACTCAATTCCAATACAAATTAAGGTACTTAAATGATGAAGGAACTGTCAAGGAAATCAACATGGGTTGTTCGATGGATTAGATAGGATTTTGGCTAGAAATACTAAAATAATGCTTCAAAAAATTATAAATAGACTACATAAACATGAAAGAAAGTTGAAATTAGAGAAAGCTTAAAAATCCAAAGAATTTCAAAGTCCTATCCGACAATCAATGACAATTATCATTACTACCAGTAATTGTATCACCCAACATCAATTGCTCTATCACCATCGTTTGATCAACGCGACCCGATCGTTATCATCTAATCGTTATTGCTCGATTATTATTGTCTGACCATCGTCCACCAATGTATGTGATGCTGATGCTGACTTATTTTATTTTTTGTATTTGGCATGTGTGCTCTATTTGTAACCTTTAGTTTTTGTTGTAGCTTAGTAGTAGTTGTATAGCCTGCTCTGTTTCGTCCTTCACCATCATATCTATATGTATATTTGTCCCGTTGGGAATGAGGGAAGGTTTTTGGCAAGAATTATCTTATTATGTTCCTTTGTTATCTTATGTATCCTGAGTTCATTTTCAGGTGGTGGCTTCGGTTCGCATAGAGAGCCATCACGCCAAGAAAATTTGCTAGGCTACTCTCTGTTCTTGGGAGCGATATCAATCTGTCTCTTAACCGCCATCATTTGCAAACGACATTAATATTTTCCGACCATCATTCTTCTATGACCATCATTATCACCATTTATTACTTCTCAAGTACTCGTCTCTCGACTAACAAGATCCATTTTTGCACATCCAACACTCCATCATTTAGTGACATGGAAGATTATGATTGAGTATTATAACCTTGAGTAAACTCCACCATTCATATATAGTAAAAGATATGATCATCAAGGCATAAGCTACACCCTCTAGGTGTGCTAGAACTAACTATTTTTCTTGGTGGTGGCACAAATAAGTATAATTAAATTAATTATCAAGTCAAAGTGTCAAACATTAACAATAATTTTTTTCACAATTTTAGATTTCGTTTGAGATAACTTTTTTATTGGTCTATTTTTTTCATATCTCAATCATAATCTCTGTTTGACGAAATAAAATCAAATTGTTTATTCTTGTTGTCCAGTTATAATTGTACACGTGTATAATTATAACATTACCCCGAATCTATAAGGCACCCATCTCTGCTCATACCGGTCTCCACTATTAGCAATTCAGATGCTACGACCGACCCTGCATCTCGGGCCACTCAAGTTCCTTCTCCTACATTAGGAAGAAGTCCCGTGCCCGAGTGAGCAATGGGAACTATTCTTCCATCCCCTATAGTCACTGTGTCTGTATCGTTGTAAACGTTTGAGGAAATAAGGTTGTCAGCCGAATTTGTCATATGTGTGGAAGAGCCGGAGTCGATATACCAGTCAGCTGAGGTGTTGTTATCGGCGTTGGCAAGAAGCGCCTGATTGTTCTTGAATGAATTTTGGGATGGAACTTAATTCCGGTTGAGACGATGCCAACACGCATCGGCAGAGTGGCCTTTCTTTTTGCAGATTTGACATGTGAGGTTGGAATACTGGGCAGATCTGCCGGTTTGAGTTCTGTCTGAAGCCGGACGTTGTCTGCCTCTCCGACCGCGATCTTTGGATGCATAGAGAGCGACTTGGTTGTCTATCGTTGCAGGAAACTTCATTGACGCTGTCTGGAGGTGAATTTCCTCGCTTATGAGAAGAGCGTAAATACTGTCAAGACTGAGAGAAAATTGCATAGTGTGGATGGACGTAGTGATCGAACGGCAAGTAGGAAGGAGGTAACCCGTTCAAAATATATATCATAATGTCTTCAAGATCTACAGATGATCTCGTCGAGGCAATGTTGTCTACAATCTTCTTTATCTCAGTAAGGTATTGAGACATTGAAAGATTCTTCATTGATACGTTGTGTAGCTCGTTCTTGAGCTGTATAACTTTGGATCTATTTGAAGATTGAAAACGAGTCTGCAGTGCACGCCAAATCTCATTCGTAGATTCAAGATGAATAACATAGGGAAGAACCAAAGGGGAGATAGTGGAGCACAATGCGGCAGCCAGGTTTTGATCGGTGACGAACCAGCTGGAGGAATCTTTATTTGGATCAGTATTTTCGTTTGCCGACGCAGTGGTGGACGGCGCGGAAGCCGATTGAGGATCAAGAAAGATGGTGAATCCATTTGCCTTGAGGACTTTAACGATTTGATTGCTCTAGATGGGGTAGTTGTCCTGAGTCAATTGATTTGGAACAAGAAATTTGAGGTTGGAGATGACGAATTTCAGGGACGGGGAGATAACCTGGTGAGAGTAGAGGATACGAGAATGAGCTTCGGATTGAGAGGCGATGGATGCCGGATTCGCCATGGAGCGATTGATAAGGATCATTCCTTATTCTGATACCATGATGAAATCCATGAATCGAATGAGGAAGACAGAGAGAGGACAGCAAGAATGAACAATTTGATTTTATTTATCTATTCTAAAAAAAAAAAGTAGTAGTTGTATAGCCTGCTCTGTTTCGTCCTTTACCACCATATCTATATGCATATTTGTCCCGTTGGGAATGAGGGGAGGTTTTTGACAAGAATTCTCTTGTTATGTTTCTTTGTTATCTTATGTATCTTGAATTCAATTTCAGGTGGTGGTTTCGGTTCCCAAAGAAAGCCATTACGCCCAGAAAATTTGCTGGCCTGCTCTCTGTTCTTGGGAGCGATATCAATCTATCTCTTAACAGTCATCATTTGCAAACGACATTAGTATTTTCTGACCATCATTCTTCTATTGACCATCATTATCACCATTTATTACTTCTCAAAGTACTCGTCTCTCGACTAACAAGATCCATTTTGGCACATCCAACACTCCTTCATTTAGTGACATGGAAGATTATAATTGCCATTAATAAACTGAGTGCTATAACCTCGAGTAAACTCCACCATTCATATATAGGAAAAGATATGATCATCAAGAAATAAGCTACACCCTCTAGGTGTGCTAGAACTAACTATTTTTCTTGGTGGTGGTGGCACAAATAAGTATAATTATTACTTTGTTGCACAATTTTAGATTTCGTTTGAGATAATTTTTTTATTGGACTATTTTTTCATATCTCAACCATAATCTATGTTTGGCGACGGCTTTTTTGCTACTGTTAAAAATTTTTGTATCAAAAACTTATTTTATACAACAACTTTAAAAAATTGCACTCTTTGCAATAACTTTATAAAAAAGTATAAAATTATAATAAATAAAGCCTTAATCTTTAGTCTACAAATGTGATCATAAAAAGTTCAACATATTTTTTTCTTCCAATGGTGGGCTTAGAATTCTTCGAGCTCGACGGCCATTGGCCGATTGAAAAAAAGTGACAAAAGGGCCACACAAAATCTATATTTCATTTTACATGACAAAGAAAGACAGATCTTTACATTAAATGTTAGCAATACGAGCTCCATTTCTTAGGACTTATGAACGCTTTTAGTTGGTGGAAAAACATACAATGCCTTAAAAGATCTATTTGGAATAATTTTCTGTCTATTTTATTTTTGAAACAACAATCACAATTCTGTTTAATAATTACTTTGTTTCTGATTTCTCACAAAATTTCATATTTTTTTATAATGAAAAGCTGTTTTTTGCAACCAGAATAACTAAGATTGTGTTTGGGACGGCTTTCTCATTGCTTCTTAAAGCAGCTTTAAATATAAAAATTAAAATTTTTTATCTAAAAAGTTGTTTTAAGAAGCAGCAAGAATGCCATCCCAAACAAAGCCTCACAGTAATTTCACAATCAACTTTATAAAAAACTACAACCACAATAAACATCAAAACCAAGCCGTGGTCATAAAAAAAATGTTAAATTTGTTCTTAATTGAAATTTTATTGTTATTTTTTATTAAAAAGATTACATAAATGTTATTATGTATGTTAAATGATAATACTTTAAAAGAAAATTATGATACTTTTTTTTATTTAATATATATCATTCTCTGCAATTATATCTTTTGGGTAATATGGTAAAATTCATGGAACTTTGATGTAAAAGATTAATGTGAATCATATTAAATCATTCTGACTTATGAGGTCTTTCTTTAATTATTTTATTAGTAATATTCAAATCGTAACAAGAATATATGAAAAGGTATGAGCATCACTCATTTAGAAGGTGGCGTGTATAAATTTTTAATGAAAAAAATATAGAATATTTGCGGCGGTGTGGGCTCCGAAAGCCCAGCTTTCCTTCCTATGTCCCTTCAAACTTTCAATATCTCCTCCTCATCCTCTAATTAGAAATCTAAATTTGAAGAAAATAAAGTAATAGTCACCATCAATATAATGGGAATGTGAAGAAAATAACAAAGGTGAGGACCACATCTAATATGTATAAAAAAATCATATTCTAATAGTATTATCTTAGAAGAAAATGAGGCATTTAAATTTTTAAATAAGGGCATCTAGTCTTATAGAGATGACAAGAAACTCTCATCTCTAAAAGCGGATTAATTATTTTATGGAGATCAACCAGAATGAGTCATGTCACTTCTTTGTTGTATACTGCGGCTCGGTATTACTCGGTACCGCTACATGACTGCACCTCATTCATCTCATCGGACCTCCGCACAGAATAAAACGAGATGCTCCTACTTGAATTTTTGAATAAATACACACCTATATAAAATTTGTTAGAATTCCTAACAAATCATAGGTGGACAGAGCAATTTATATACACCTATGATTTGCCAAGTACGTGTCTGCTAATAATTTCTCCTCATGAAGTAATTGAACTGAGGAAGTTTCCTCCCCCAGCACTTTAAGACTTGAAGGATGTGGAAACGCGTAGACTCTTCTCTTCTAGACTTGGAAGAATTAGACAGCCCAACCAATAAAGAGTTCCACATATTATATGTAGAATCATTACCTTGCTCTTCTTCTATGGAGCTCACCTGCTCACTGCTGCTACTTCTGTTGCTCTCATCCTCCTCCTCGATTCTACAAGCAGAGGCCAGGCTTCTTCCTTCTTCTGAACAAGAGAGTGAGCAGAATTGCTTGTTCTTTATGATTAATTAGCTCAGATGATTGCTTTAAAATTAGGGATTGGATTGTTTTAATTAATTGCTGTTTTGTAAATGTTTGAATTTAAGGGTATGTGAAAGTGTTGGAGTCGCTGGGAGTGCTGTGCGGCTGCTGCGATGAGGGGAGAGGGCAGTGCTGGAGAAGAAGCTGGAGTTTCACCTGTAGCAAGCTTGATTGCCGTCCATTCAAATATTTGTGATTGATTTTCTATCATATATGTAACTATCTTTGTATTTTAATTATCATCAATTATATAGATTCCATGCAATATTGTCTTACAAGTACGTACGCTTAGAAAATAATGATATTTCAGGTTATCATGAAAAGAAATCTTAGAATAATATTGAAGAGTTTCACTTCACTATGACCTCGTTTGTTTCTTCTTAATACACCGTTTTCAATTTAAATCGATGAAAATGAAAACAATTAGTATATATTGTTTGTTAACACGTCTTTTATAGAATCTCTTTTCTTATATCTTCGTAATACTGCCGATCTCAAAAGAAAAAAAAAATGCCGCTTAATCAAACTCTGTTTACTCCGTTTCTTTAAACTCCGCTTATGCAAAAGGAATGCTGCAACCAAACGAGGCCTATATTTGAAAAATCCCACAATCTCTCTCAAATAATACTTTTGATGATCTCTCCAATACTTGGGCTTAATTTGGTTTCTGAGCTTAACTTGAAAGAAAAGCAGCCAGAAAGAAATAGGAACTTGTTATAAAAAAACTACCAACTTTCCTAGTTTCTAAGAATTTGCCTATTTTAGGCAAATCAAACTAACAATTTTGGTTAATAATGCTGCATTGGAAAAATTCCAACAGTAACATCAGAAAAGCATAGCCCAGCAAATTCCAAATATAGCTACCAGTAAGACAAACAGCACTAAACATTACAGGCTTAAAGATCCCAAGCATTGGCAAAAAGCCCTAAATATTCTTTTGGAGCACAAAGCATTTAAAAAAAGTATTATTTAGAATGCCTGTTTTAAACCAATTGAAGAGTACAACGATAAGTTAAATAACTAACAAGAGTGAGACCAGTATTTCAGGAAAAAATAGAAATTGCAGACTAATCTCTACCATATTTCATCATGAAACAAAAGACAATGGCAACACATTCTATTGAAAGCACAAGGGTTGAGTCGTTTCATGGAAAGCCAAAGTTGTCATCTAGAACACTACAGTATCCAGCATTGTACCCAGCGTTTGGACTATATTGGAGGACATTAGATTGGACACATGCTCTTCCAAATGCTTCTTTGCATCTTGCCTACCCACATTCGCAATGGCCAATTTCTCCGGGGGCAGTTCATCCTCCTCTTGGACTGCTTTATTATATTTGATGGCTAAGTTTAGCATCTCCTGCTCAATACCACAGCAAACAGCAACATAAAAAGGTTGAAACAAGCAATTAGAAAATATAACTACTCGAACGAATATTTGACTAGAGTGCTTTGTTATATTTGACGGCTACGTTTAGAATCTCCTGCTCAATACCACAGCAAATAGCACAATAACAACAACATCAAGCCTTTGTCCCACTACATGAATTCTTTTTCTCCATTGCGTCCTGTTTAAAGTCAAATTATCATTTAAATCTAATAAAGAAATATCATTTATAATAATTTCTAACCAAGTCTTTTTAGGTCTACCTCTACATTTCTTAACATGTCAAATTTAATACCTATACTTTCCTAACAAGGTAATCGGAAGGCCGTTGTTTTATGTGACCAAACCATCTAAGTTGACTCTCTCTAATCTTGTCTTCCACTAGTGGTACTCCAACTTTTTCACGTATATGCTCATTCCGTATCCTATCTCTAAGGGTAAAGCCACTCGTCCACCTAAGCATCCTCATCTCTGCAACACTTAACTTAGTAATATGCTTCTCTTTTAATGGCCAACATTTGGCACCATAAAGTATTACAAGTCTCACCACCATCTCATAGAATTTTCCCTCAAGTTTGAGGGGTACTTTTCTATCACACAACAAGCCCGATGCATTCCTCCACTTCAACCATCCAACTTGAATTCTGCATATAATATTTCCATCTATTTCATCATTACTCTGAAGAATAGATCCAAGATATTTAAAACGTGTACTCTTATTAATGACTTGATTGCCCAAAACACAACCCCCTCATTAAGTTTATTACTACTAAAATTATACAAATAAAAAAAAAAACACAGCAAATAGCAACAGAAAAAAAAAATTTTTTGAAAGCTGCTGCTAGAAAATACAAATACTTAATCAAATATTTGACTTGACTGCTTTATTATATTTGATGGCTAAGTTTAATATCACATGCTCAATACCAACACAAATAGCAACAGAAAAAGATTGAAACCAGCAGATAGAAAATACAACTACTCTACACAATATTTGACTTGACCGATTTGGTATATTTGATGGCTAAGTTTAATATCTCCTGCTCAATACCAAGGCAAATAGCAAAAGAAAAATATTGAAACCAGCAGTAAGAAATACAACTACTCAATCTAATATTTCACTTGAGAAGATGCAAACTTAAACTAAAAAATAAATGGCAGATCAGTTGACAAAAAGGAATAATCCCACTATTATTACCTGCACCGTTTGCTCATTAGTTTTTGAATGGGTATCAAATCGTCGCAACGTTAAGCCATCTGTCCATTTCTTCTTATGCAGGTTTAGAAGCATTTTTTCCTCGAGCTCATTTTTTCGATAGTTGATAGCTATAGAGTAGTAGTGCCGGTTGAGACCATGAATGAGTGCCTAATAATCATTACGAAAGAAAATTTTATTAATGAGTCTAATTAAGATGATTATTATGGCACAAGCGACTAATTATTCATAGGTACCCCACCTGGATTGAGGGTTTGTTGAGATGTCCCAAGTTGGACGTGGTCTGGCGAGGCTCTTGGCCTAGCATCATGGTCTGTGGATTGATCAAACGGAAAGCATCAATCACCACTTTCCCTTTAACACTCTGGATTGGGTCGACCACAACAGCGACGGCTCTAGGATTTAAGGCTTCAAAGCTCTGAATAGAAAAACACAGAGGCATTAAGACCACAGTGAAACCATCAAAGGCCATATAACAATGGCATCATTGACAGGAGATCTGATTATACTTGAAGAACTTAAAAATGATGTAATTTACATTGTAGGTTAATAGATGAACAGTAATAGAAATTTAGAAAAACAGTCTGAAGTAATTCTCAGAATGAGTTGCAAAAGGAGATCAATCTAGGATCACCAGAACCCCGTGAAGCAATAAATCATCCCAAATCCACAGTACACTAGACGCATAAACAATATTTGAAATATAATGAAGCTTACATGGGGTGTTACATATATAGAAAAGACATGTAAGAATTACACCTATTACATAGGCCGGAGTAGAGATGTAGGACAGTTGAAGGATGAGGATTTCTAATGCAACCTTAGAATGACATGCGAGCTGAAAAGTAAAGAAATCACAATTCATACGTTAGCAATTCATACTTCATCAAAAATTCATTCTTTGAATGTAAAGACAACAAATATTATTTACTCCAGAAAGATAATTTATTGACCTCCTAAATCTGAGATTCCACAAGAAAAAACATTGATGAAATTAAATTCTAGCAACATTCAACTTCATGATTCAAAAAAGAAAACTACAGCAAATATCTTGAAAATATTTCAATCACCATACAAAAGTCCAAAACAACCATTAAATAAAATAAAAGATGATAAAAAATGATCGAAATCACCCAAAGAGAATAAGAAAGCCTCACTCCAGGAAATGAATCCACCATGGCAAAGTAAACCATCCAAACCAATGAAGCACTTGAATCATACACATACAACAAGCACATGCATAAGAGAGAACAGCACTATGATTTTATTTCAATATTCATTATCAAATGCTTCGGGGGTTCTATTTATAGACTTCAAAAATATGTAAGAAATAACTCAAAAACAACTAATTCCAATATATCCAGAATGAATCCAAATTTTTCATAATTCCACTAACAAAAATAAGAAAATTGTAAGTTTCAATATATCTAGAAAATATGGATGCCAATAATTGACCCAACTCGAAACCTACACAAAAAATCCAAGCTCTAGTCAGAAATCGTAACTCGTTTATTATCTAGTTGGGTTCGGGTTGACCAACCTAAAATTGATTCAAAATTGACCCAATAATCATTTTGGGTTGTTAGTTCTGTGTGAAATCTAATTGAATCGATCAATCAAGCTGTACTAATGACTTAGACGTCGATCGAGCTCGATGAGGAGCTTGTCAGGAGGTTGCAGGGAGGGCAGTGCACACCCCCTACTTGAGGTTTCAGGAGCGAAGCCGCCGAAAAAAATGATTTATGTTTGTACAGTCGTATAGCATCGTGCGCGCTGTACACTCGAGCATTGTAGGTTGCAATGACAAGGCGCTACAGGATGAACTCAGAGAGAGTGGAGCATTGCGGCCCTCCTGACCTTAGCATCACGGTGTTACGAGTCGGACTGAGCAGTTTTTTTCCCTCTTCTTCTTATTCCACTTGAAGAATTGCATCCTTTGGGGCAACAAAATTGTCTTTTTGTCTATCATGTGAGTAGAACAATCCATGAAGTGAAGAGAGACAAAAGAGAGTAGGTAGGAAGAGAGATCTCTATAATTTCTTCCAATTTTCATAGTAAATTTCTTGGTGTTATGTGCCTCCGTAGCTTTTTTCCGGTTTCGGGTTTTTTCACGTTAAATCCTGGTGTTCTTTTTCTTCTTTGCACCTTTATTTTCTTGTTTATTTTGTTTCATGGTTTAATTCCCAACATGGTTCGAGTTAAATGGATTATACGTGAAATTTTTTTTCTTCATTGTGAGTCAGATTATCATTTAAATCTAATAAAAAATATCATTTCTAATACTTTCTCACCAAGTCTTTTTAGGTCCACCTCTACATTTCTTAACATAGGCCAAATTTAATACATCTACTCTGCTTAACAATTCTTGTTGATCTAAAAAATTATATGATCTATATAAAAAACAAGTCAAATGATGGGTTGAAAAGTTTCTACTCAAGTTGAGTTCGGGTCAGAAAATTTGGCCAGTATGATAAACGGGTCGTGTTCAAATCATGCATATTCGGATCAATTCAACTTGGGGTCATACCCAAACCTAACCTGCAAACTCAAACTGACACCCCTACCATGATGAATCTAGACTTTTTCATAGCTCTGCTTGAAAAAGAAAATTTTCCAAAACATTCAATGATAGAATAACTGTTTATTGAGGCGATTTGGAACTATAGTAAAAAATATCAAGAGTCGATAGGAGGCACAATCCGATGAGCATGTAGTGTGATAGTGGAATTGCTACAAAGTCACAAACAACACGGAAACAAACCATAGACACGGAATTAGCTGAGGCAGTAAGAGAAAGCCAACAAGAAAAGCAGCCAACAGGAAAGGAGTGTCAATATTTGACACGACCCCAAATCTGACCCAAAAATTTCAGATTAGAGTCAACCCGAAAGTGATACGGGTTAGATTCGAGTTCAATAAATTGACCTGTTTCAAAAATCGGGTCAGATTTGGGTTGACCCGAAAACCCGAGATTGACTCGTTTTTTACCCAAAATCAGACAAACCATCATTGGATATAACCCCATCGCTCAACAGCGTCCTCACGCAGCTTAAACCCTCCTAAGCCTTTTCACCCACCCCTTCAGAATCCATCGCTTGATAATGGATCCAGGCATCGCCACCTGCCCGATTTCCTTCCAAATCGACAAATCCAACCCAAATGGCTTCGGGGAGAAGAAGTTCATCACTTTGTTTTTTTATTATTATTATTAGTTTTTTTAGTCGTTTCTTTCAATTGCATTTGGTCACATAATGAAGATGAGGGATTTTTTTAGGCTTTTTATCCTTGTTTGCTTCCCGGTAACCTTTTCACATGCTTTCATTCTCTCCCTCTGTTTGCCTCTTTGATCTGGTTGGTTGAGCTGCTCGAAAAAGCGAAGCACGTCTATTTGCTTCCCGGTAACCTCTCCGGCTCTTTTATTGGTTGGATACTTGGATATCCTAGAGGCGTTGATTTCAGAGAGGAGAAAAGCTCTCTCTTTCCCTTCATCGTCTGTAATGTCTGAAAGCCTCATCTTTTTCTCAAAAATTTACAACTGCTAGAGGGTCATGTCGGGTTGGCCCAGACCCGAAGCGGGTCGGGTTCGGGTCCGAGAAAGTGACTCATTTTAAAAAACGGGTCAGGCCAGTTTCGGGTTGGACCCGCACTTGACCTGTGACCCGATTTTGACAGCCCTAAACAGAAATGATGAGGGAATAAACTGTGATGGACAATAGGGGAATAGTGGAAAGACTTACTAGAGAACACATCTCTTTTTTATAGGAGCCCATATTATAGGCATGTTTTACACACAATATCTAAAAAAGAAAAAGTTCAATAAGTTTGATACAAGCCCTTTCTTCAACCATGATTTCATACTCTCACACTAAAAAGATGAATCTTAAGGCATGTTTAAAGACAACCATGCTCAAAATGACAAGTTTCAGTTCATCAAAATGACACCTTATCATCGATGTCACCCTCTCTTTCCCTATCTTTTGATTGCCTAAATATCAGCTGAAGGCCATTCCAATGCTGCTAGTTAGTTAAATTAGATGAACTACTTAACACAGGCAGATGAATCCCTTAAATAAAATGAATAAAGCATGTAAAATAACACAATCACACACATTTGACATTTTTATGCATATTTTCATTCCAACAGAATGTTTTAAAATGTTTGGTTACTTCCACAAAGCAAACAAATTCTGTAGTAAGACAACATTTCACAATTGACATAAAATTTATGATTGCCAAATGAGTGCAAATGTAATTTAAAACAAAGCACATCAACCGCAAAAGACAGCCACACCTGCTGGGTGTTAATATCAACGCCAGAGAGCCAACAGCCAAAGCCAGGATGAGAATGGTACCACCCTACCACCATTTCAGGCCTGCACTCAGATAAATAAAATTTGTAGTCATGCTTAAAGTGGAAATAAGACTCTGGGAAGTGAAAATTTAAAGTATAAAAAGGAAGGCTGATGCAATTTGTAGAAAGCTATGGGAAAATCAGAAACATTAATAATTTGGAAGAAGAAAGAACCAAGGCTGGATTGTAAAGATTGGCTAACAAATTGATATGCTCAAAAAATGCACTCATATTCAAATAAGTACAGGCATGCCATTAGCCACTTTTCCTGATAAAATTACAAAAAAATGCTAGGATTCAACTGAAACACCAATAACATGCCTCAAAATTTAAACAAAGAAATAATCATCAAACAATCAAACTAAGAATGGATAAGGCACCAATTTCCTAGGTTTGCTAGAAAATCTTGAAAAAGCCCAATCAAATTTCAAGTCATCAATATCATCATGGTCAACAACAAAACTTTATCTTAACTGTTTGAGGCTGACTTCACAAATTATTTTCAATTCTTTCTACTTAGTCTGAAGGGTGCTGACTCTGTGTAATGTAAGCCACTGCGCAACTTATATCCATATTAACTATGGTCTACTCATTCTCCTCATATCTTTCCCTATACAACATCTTATTAACGCATCCCTATTATTCCTGCATACGCTTTAAAGTTTATTTTCTGCATAGGATTATCCACTACCAAGGATACTCCTACTCTTCCAAGAACAAACAACTCTTCTTTCAAATAAAGTCATTCCATGAACAAAAACAACAACAACATCAAGCTTTTATCCCACTACGTGGGGTCGGCTACATTAATCCTTTTTCTCCATTGTGTCCTATTAAAGGTCAAATTCTCGTTTAAATCTAATAAAGAAGGTCATTCTTGATATTTTTTAACCAAGTCTTTTTAGGTCTGCCTCTACCTTTCTTAACATAAGTCAAATCTAATACCTCTACTCTCCTAACCAGGTCATTGGAAGGCCGCCGTTTTATGTGACCAAACCATCTAAGGCGAATCTCTCTAATCTTATCTTCTACTGGAGCTACTCCAACCTTTTCACGTATATGCTCATTTTGTATCCTATCTCTAAGGGTAAAGTCATTCCGTGTACGATGTTGCATAATTTTAATAAACATCTTAATAATTTCTTTAATCCCATGCTCATCTCCACATATTGATACAATCAAATCCAATCTTTAGACCAAACCAATGGCAAATGAATGTGCCTCAAGCAAGGCTCAAGCTATTTCAACAAAACATGAGTATTCTGAAGTAGAAAAATAATAATAAAAAGTATTTTACTTTTTTATTTTTTCTATATAAAAAGGCATATCCAATGCATGGAGCTCCAACCAATGTCAGATCTGAGGGGCTGATACTCAACTTAACCCTATGTCAATGAGAGAATATTTTCATGACTCCAATCTAAAAACTTCAAATTAAAGTAGAACTATTTTATAGGTTTGCACCAAGGCAAGGTAAGGCAAGAACATCTTGACCATGGAAGGAGATTAGCATATGCATCAAAGGTCTTAATATTTGTCCCAATCGTTATTTATGACATGCCTGAGAGGGCTTATGTTAGGAGTTACTAATCAGCATTACTACTTTTAAGAGAATGAAAAGGTAGGCCCACAATCAAACATGTCAACACAAGTTCAACACAAGTCAAATAATCCATATAATTTTAAGCTTAGCTTTTTTCTATCCTTTAGACCAATCCAAATCTATCTATATTACATGATTACTTCCACACATGAGGAAAAAAAAAATCCTACTTTCCTCCCTCTAGTCCTATTGATCTTATGTCACTCATCCCATTGAAACTGAAGCCAGCCTTCGCTTCCAATTGGAACCCAACTCTCTTCATCATTATTTAAGAGAATGTCAGAGGATCTCTCTACAGGTATCACCTCATGGACTCCTCTTTGCTAACTATCAAAGTTTTCATACACGGGTGTCCTCTCTATCAATTGCTGGAAGAGTAAGGATAACAATATCATGTAGCGTTTGCTAAGAAGCCAAACTTTTTTCGCTTCTTCAAATCATAATGCACTATTACAAAAGATGTAACTGAAGCAGCACCACTTGAGGTTGCATATTATAATATATAAGAATCCACCAACTCTTTTCATTCATTAGGACTTAAAATCTCTTGAGCATTTGCATCTGCATAATTGAAAACACTTAAATACATCAAGATTTTCATAAATTTTGGTACATGCCTAACTCCAAGAAGGTTCTAATCACAACATCATGCATCCACAACTTCACAATGCTAAAAACAACCATCTTGCATATCATAATATTGTACATATAAAAATAGCCATTAACACATGACTAATAAGTAAAAATAATAGCTCCTTAGAAGGGCATATGATTTAAGAAGGCTAAATTCAAAATTAATTGATCATTACATTTAGTTTCATAGTTGCCAAAAAGATCATCACTTTTCGAAGAAGAATCTACGACAATTAGAATTTGTTAGCTTGTCCTCCTTATGATTGTTATTTGCGTGTTGCTTCTTTCTCTTTAAAAAAAAGACAATCTCTCATAATGTGCCATTTCTTCTTGCAGGAGAAATTTTATTCTAATTCTGCAAAAAAAATTTACTCCTACAATGATTAAAAATAGATTCTTTCTCAAAACGTTTATCTAAAACCAAAACTCCTTGAGTCAATTTTTATAACAAACACTCTAAAACCCAGAAGTAAAATATTTTAAAAAAAATCATAGCATCCTTTAAATTGATTGTATCATATACAATCCCCCCCCCCCAAACACACACGCACACACACTCAATTTTTCCTCCAAAAGCTCTTCAAAAACCTTAAACTCATTAAGATTTGATTTAATGGGTATAATTCATACATCTGAACCAAATACAACATGATAAATTTTGTTTGAGGTTTTTGATCATATACAAAAGCTCCCACTTCAAAATTCAGAAAAATGGAAATAAAGTCATCCATAATTGAATTAATAGGTATAATTCCTGCATGTGAACCATATAAAATATTAGATTATGATAAAATTTAATTTAAGAGGTTTTTGATCATGTACAAAACTCCCTCTTAATTGATCTCGCATGAACACATTTTTCCTCCAAAAGCTTTGCAAAAACCAAACACAATTAGATTGCCAAGAAAGCATTTTCATCCCTCTAAAGTCTTATCTCTTCACACATAATCGCAATCTCAAGGTATTTACACACCAGATAAGTGCCTTCACAAGTCCCTGGTAGTTTAGAAAACCAAGAATGTTGTGTAAAGCATTAGACTATTTGAGCCATGAAACTTCTTGACTCAAACTTTATGCCAATTGTATTCCTCTTAAGATTTGAAACTAAATGTTAGAAATAACAAACTTTATGCGAAAGTAGAAACCAAGAGTGAATACAATAAACTACTAAGTAACAACAAAAGAGACCAACCAACAAAGGAGTAAAGTAAACCAAGATTTACATAGTTCAGCTAACAAGCATATGTTCAAGATTGCATCGAATAATGATTGTTCCATTAGTTCAAATAAAAAAAAATACACAATATAATAACAACTCCCAAGATTTCCTCTCATATTTTCTTTCTCCCTTTATCCTCTCTCTCTCTCTAGATTTTTCACATAGCAAATTAGTTAAAGACCAATAAAAATAAACGAAGGCCTAATAAATCCCTTCTCCTAATAGCTCTCTGAATTTGATTATCCTTTTACATCCGCCAAAACCTACTTACACATAAGTAAAATACCAACTAACACAGCAAAAAATGCAAGGTCGACTAACTTCCTCCTAGCAATATACATTAATGGCTTAGATTCCTAAAAAACAACATTCTGACATATTTACAAATCGAGAACTCACGTCAATCACATATTGCCTTTGCTAAAAGGCCCTCCTTGTTGGATGCCCTTGCTAGCAATGGATAATGGATAAAGGAGATTTATAAATTTGGTATACAAAAAGAGACATTTAAGCTTATATAAGGAAATAAATCTGGTAACAAAATCTAAGTAGTCTAGAATTGCGTTTTCAATGATTTATTCAAAGAATTTCAAGGAATGAATATTCAAAAAGAACATAAATTCAATACATAATAATATTATTTTTAGAATTTATGCCATTAACAAACCTTAATTTGATCAAAATCTCCTATTCCCATCTTAAGCTATTTTTATAATGGATTAAGTTTTGTTCAGCATCAAGTAAATCAGCACTACACAGATGGAAAGCGACGCAGAAGAAAAACATTACAAATTGCAACCACTCCTTATAGGCTTATACAAAAATTATTTTGATTATCCTAAAATATAATTAATATGTACTCTTTGTCTCTAGAACTGTAATAGGTACCATAGCAGGCTTCAAAACTTAATGGAGTCTTCAAACTTTGTCTTCTTACGTCTTCTAGCAAGTATTGATCGTTATCCTTAATCAGCCAATGTGGTGTAAGGGAATTGGGATTGGATTGTTATCGAGACTTTGGGTTAGTTTACATGAGAATTAGTCAATCTTGTGATTTCTTTTTAATTTCTATTGTATTGGAACTGAATTTTGAATTGATTGGAATTGAAATAGATTAGCCTTGTGCCAATCATATATACTAATCTAGGATGAAAATTAATATATTAATAACCAGAAGCAGGTAATTATTCAACATTTGATTCAATAAAATTTTATTTCCAATCTTAGTCTCTTTGATGTGAGGTTCCTTCATGTGTAATGTAAATTTGATAGGCAACATCTGGGGTAAGGTATCCCTGCAACAACATGAGACCAATATTGTTTTTATTTTAGTGATATTTTTCATTTTCATAGTTTCTTTTAATATTTTTGCTATCAGCTCTGGATTTCTTGATTTCTTTCAAATTTGATATAACTAAAATTCTAATTATGGTGAATAGGTTGTAAGTGCACTCTGATTTAGTGTTATTAGAATTTATAGTTGATTTCTTCAGCTTTATTTGATCATCGCATTATCTTCTGGGTCATAATGCTTGTAATTTTTGGTTGGTACCTAAAAAAGTAAACTTCTGTGCATTTAGTGATGTTAGATCTATAAATCACAATTTTATGTGTAATTTAAGTTCAATGCATCATTCTAGATGCATAAAGAAACATAACCTAAATCACCCTCCAGCAGTACTCCACATTAATCCTAACATTCAAACACTTCATATGGAAGTGCTATGCTGATTCATATGAAATAAAATCACTACCATTCACTAAGAAATGGACAAGTTGCCAATTGAAATACATATGCATTGTCTAACATTGTGAAACCGTAAAAGGATTGCACAAAAAGTATTGCATTTATGGTATATGATTCCTACATAATCCTAAAGTATAGTATATCAAGTTATTTAAACGAAAAGAAATCAAATTGCATTACCAAATGGGGCTTAATTCTAACACAACTTTGTAAGCTCTCATTTGCCTCTTTTAACACCACATCCTAGAATATTGGTAATTTCTCTCATTTGAAGTGTAGTCAAATAGTAAGATATTTGTATTTTTTCTTCACTTTTAAGGAAATGCACCGCTAACAGCTACTATGTATTGTGTGATTAAGCTTTCAAATTTAAATTCAAGCTAAATAAGTAAAGTTTCCTATCTAATTCAAGTTAATTTATTACAAACGTATACTAAAGCAACGATAGCCAGTAGCTATACCACACACTAAAGTTTCAGGATTTCTTAGAACTTTAGTATTTTTCATTGCTCGAACAAAATCTATAAAACCAAAGTTCTGTGTGGGTAAGATGTAATAAAATTGATACTAAATGTATCCATAGCCCTTGCAGCTCCAAGAATAAGGGTTTCAAAAATAGCTCGCTTGGCCATGTAATAAAATATATGTTGGATGCAGCTGCACATGAGAGCCCTACTTTACTAAAGGAATGGTTATTTAAACCTAAGCAATCCTATGGTTGGTCATTCAGTTTCATTCTTCATAAAAGCATATTTACAACAAATATTCGTTTCTCTGGCCTCAGCTAGCACATATTTTTCTTGACTTGTTTATTTATCAAAGATGGTCTTTCTTAAGCATACATGTACAAACTAATTAATTATTTATAAGGTTTAAAACCAATCTAACTTTTTCCAATGATCATATAGTGTCACCCATACAACTTAAAACTTCAACATACAAGTTTAGTCAAACATCAAAAGCCGTAACAAAACTATATGCATGTAATATTATTTTCTTCTTATATGCAAAAGATGGGATGATGAGGGGGCATTTTCTTCATATACTCGTTTTAATAGAGGAGATAATATTATAGGCCCATTCATTTGACTTTAGAAAGGTTTTAACTTCTTTAAAATTTTAAAAACTAGTGAACCTAGGTGAAACTTTTGGTGGAAGAGGGGTCGGGTGTAGATTGATATATGTTAACTTCATTGTATGACAAAATTTTGATTTTTATAATTAGGATAACCTTGAACATCTACTATGCTCTAAAATATCGGTGCCAAATTGCTTATTTTCTAATCATTTGGCATTCTCTTAGTCTCAAACATTCTAATGAAAATATTTATTAACCAAACCATTGCAGTATCCCATATAATTATCCAATTTTAAATAGCGAGCTCATTTGGACCTAAAGATTTACCCTTATGTATCTTTTACATAGCTAACTTCATTTTTTAATCAATTTATAATACAGCTCATTATTATGTTCAATATACACTTTCTGAACTATTCACTCTTAAAACAATCATGTAATATTTTTCAAATTAACATTTTCACTTTTCCTTAAAGTCGTCGAATTAAAGTTAGATCAGATTGCTTTCCCTTCTAAAGCATTTAGCTTACTTATCATCTCTAGATTTCTTCTATTTTGTCTTGCGTAATTTACGTATCTCTTTTATTCTTTCTTGGTATTAAGGATATCATTATAAATCATCAAAAGTATTAGCTTTTACTTTTTTGGTAGATACCCTCTTTTGTAAGATTTTTAACTTTCTTAAAATCATTTTAACCCTTAATAGTATTTAGCTATTTCCACTCATTAACAACACATTTCTTTTGTTTAATAACCCTATGCACCTCCACACTCTATTTCCAACTATCAGTGTTGATATATGATCTATATATAAAGTCACCAAAAACTTATGCACCAATCTTCTTAATGGAACAAGCTATTTTATGTCACACTAAGTTTGGCTCAACTAAAGAATTTCAATTTGCCTCTCCACATAGCCTATCTTAAAATATTTACAACTTCTCGTTGTTCAAATTCTACCAACCCATATTATGGAAATTATGTCTTTTAAATATTTTTTATATTCTTAAGATATGCAACCATAATTACATAATTACTCTCTATATTGTGTAATAAAACTCTCGTTTAAATAACCTTGCAATTTTTTTGTTATATATATATATATATATATATATATATCCAAATAAAAAAAACGGTTATTTTCTTCAACTCTTATATGAAAAACTTTGGAAGGTGAAAGTAAATGAATAAGTACTCTACTAGCTGCAAGCTACTTTTTGGGGATAACTAGTCACCCAAAAAAGACAATATTCTTTGTTCTTCTTCTCACAATAGGACGAAAATAAGAATTCTACTAGGGGTGGTTGGTTAGAAAGAGTGATGAGAAGCTAGTGAAAGTGGTTGTAGTAGTTGTTAGAATGAATTTTCACTACCAATACTTGTGACCAAATTGAACCGTTATGGATCTACATAAATGAAGAAGACGTACAAGTGTATCGATACCTTTGAAAAAGACAAGATACATGCCATCAAGACCTAGTTCAGAAACATAAATATGACATACTCCTTTGACCACAACTCAATAACTACAATTACTATCTCATAAACCCTCCAGAGTAATTAGCTAGATTTAAAAAACTCATGCTTATTTAAACTACTACCATCCAATCAATATTCAATCTTTGCCAAATATGCCAATAGCAAGTGTAAAAAGTTGTTTGAACTAAATATCAAAAGATAAACCTAGAGAAATTTATTTAGAACAAGATAGGAACAAAAGAATTTCAACTTTTATTTCTCCTTATGAGCTCAAAGAGCTAATTCCGTGTCCATCTTCAACTTCCTAATCTCTTTATCACATTATCACTTATATTTTCTAATCATTTGGCATTCACTTAGTCTCAAACATTCTAATGAAAATATTTATTAACCAAACCATTGCAGTATCCCATATAATTATCCAATTTTAAATAGCTAGCTCATTTGGACCTAAAGATTTACCCTTATGTATCTTTTACATAGCTAACTTCATTTTTTAATCAATTTATAATACAACTCATTATTATGTTCAATATACACTTTCTGAACCACTGGCGGAACCACCATATAGTTAGGGGGGGCAATTGCCCCCCCCCTCAAAAAAAAAAATTGTTTTTTAGGAGAGAAAAAAAAATTTAAAGAGAAATTTTTTTTTTTGCCCCTCCTAAAAAATTACTTTTGCCCCCCCTAAAAATTATTTTGTGCTAACTTGTCCTAAAATGTCTATATATTTCTTTAAATTTAATTTTAATATTTTCTTTCGTGTTTTTCATGACAATTTTATTACACATTTTTTTCTTGCTTAATTTTTTTAAATACCTTATATTTATTTTTTAAATATTTAATTATTTTTATATTGTACTTGCCCCCCTCAAAATTGAAGCTGATTCCGCCCCTGTTTCTTCTTCTCACAATAGGATGAAAATAAGAATTCTACTAGGGGTGGTTGGGTTAGAAAGAGTGATGAGAAGCTAGTGAAAGTGGTTGTAGTAGTTGTTAGAATGAATTTTCACTACCAATACTTGTGACCAAATTGAACCGTTATGAATCTACATAAATGAAGAAGACATACAAGTGTATCGATACCTTTGAAAAAGACAAGATACATACCATCAAGACCTAATTCAGAAACATAAATATGACATACTCCTTTGACCACAACTCCATAACTACAATTACTATCTCATAAACCCTCCAGAGTAATTAGCTAGATTTAAAAAACTCATGCCTATCTAAACTACTACCATCCAATCAATATTCAATCTTTGCCAAATATGCCAATAGCAAGTGTAAAAAGTTGTTTGAACTAAATATCAAAAGAAAAACCTAGAGAAATTTATTTAGAACAAGATAGGAACAAAAGAATTTCAACTTTTATTTCTCCTTATGAGCTCAAAGAGCTAATTCCGTGTCCATCTTCAACTTCCTAATCTCTTTATCACATTATCACTTATATTTGTGGTTTTTTTTTTTTTTTTGCTCTCTGCATTAAAATCTACTATTTGCTCCATAGATTATCATGATATTTTTCTACAGATTACAACTACTTCTAGCACTAACATTCTTCATTAGGGCATCTTTCTAAGAGTAAGAACTCAACTACAAATAATAAAAGTAACAAAATGTAATAACTTTCCAGAAGAAAATATCATGAGGCTTAATAGAAGGTAGGATGGATGACGAGAGCACTCTCTTGACAATTGTTTAGGTGTCAATTCACTGCATAAAAACTTGGACAAATAGAGCAAAACCTTCCAGCTAAAATCAATCCTACTTCTTCCATGGTGCATTTCTGAATCATATCTCCAATTGCTTAGAGCAATAATAGTAATGATATTGATGACGATAATAACAACGTAAATTATAATAAGAATGCTGAAAAGACAAAACTGATATGCATGAAATTTATCCAAAAAAATGCCTCTTTACAAGCCTGTATTGATAATAAATGGCACTTGATTGGAGCACTATGAGTGCCAGTTTCTTGCAGGACTTGAAGGATGAAAATCCAATGGTATAAAAGCTTTCTAGGTATTTCACAGCAGATAGACTGTGTTATATAGTTGTGAGCCCATTTTTACCCAAAAGTTCATCTAAAATTGATAGTTTTGTATTGCAGGCAGAATATAAATTACGGAGTCAGATGAACCAAGAATGTTCGGGGATCAATAAAAAAAACAATGGGCCATGATGGCGATGGCTTCAAACCTTCCGGTTTGCTTCAGCATATCAAGCATGTTGGTCTGGAAGACGTGATCGACAGCCTCAACACTAACTCCCGTGCCGCTCTGAGGCATGGCGAAGACGTCAACCACCCGAACGGTGTACTCGTCCACGAATTCTCCGAGCATGAGCCCCATCACCTCCATCGGAACCCCCGCCCTACCTACAACAATCAAACACAAGAGGGGGATGAGATCCACAGATAAATCCTAAATCCCACCATTCATTGCTTGGAAACTGAATTACAACCACTTACCGTGCTTAAGCATCTTGAGAAGAGCGAGCGATGAGATGTAGACCTGCTCGGAGGAGTCGAGGAGCGGAGAATCAGTTGGCGGGTGGCCCATCCCCCCGGCCCCCGAGAAAATCCGATGAAGCCTCTCCATTACAAATTACAATATCTATCTTGCTTCCGGGATTGTAAGCTCAGCTCCGGCAAGCTAGGGTTTGTTGGGTACGTCGGTGAATAGTCAGTATTGGAAAATGCTGCGAATGAAGGAAGACGGAGAGATGGGTGAGAATAGTCCTTTCTTCTTTCTTGGGTTTAAAGAAAGTAATCGGAACCGTTGGATGGGCATTCATAACTTCGTCGAACGGATGAGTCACATATGAACCGGACCGAAATAAAACCGGGCACTGGTCCTGTGGGCCAGATCGTCGTGTGCGTCTTGTCCTCCTGATCATATTCGGACTATGTTGGACACATATTATGCATATTTATACACATTATGTATAAATATATGTACATATACTATGTGCACATATTATTTTGGACGTAGAGTTGATCAATTTATTAGAATTTTGAGATTTTATTCTCGAAGTTTGGGGGTTTATGACTCTGAATCTGGCCCGGATTCTAAGTTTAAATTTAGGTACTGAACGACAGCAACCCGAACCTAGCTAATACAGTGCAAAACCTAGACTTACTCTGGCCTGGATTGGAGAGTCAGCTTACCACATGTCACGAACAAAACATGAGTTTAAAGGAATCCGACGATCATCTTTGGGAATTGTATTTTGATGGTGTTGCATCCTCTCAAAGGGGAATAACCTACAAATCTACGAAAAAGCTGGAATTTGCTTGATTTTCATAACACTAGAAAAATGAATGATGTATTTTCCTACTATTTATTATAGTCTTGCATGAACAATAATGCTGAGTATGAAACTCTGATAACTGATTTGGAACTTGTAATATTGATAGACGTCTGGACTCTACACGTAATAATTTCTCTCCATTATTATGGGTTATCTACCAACCCTAATTAATTGAGGAGAAAATTAATGATATTAATGATAATAGTGATGATACTGTTTGATCATTTGTTAAGGAGTCATCATTATTATTTGATTTATAAATTAAAAAAATTATAACCGTAAGACTTTATATTAATTATATTAGGATGAAATTAGAAATTATTCAATTTATTTTAAAATTAATGATATATAATACTAAATTAAAAATTATTTAATAACTTTTAAATCTATTCTTTAATTTATTTTTATCAAAATTTATTTATTGGCCTCATTTATGAGCATCCCCACATCATTAGCAATTATTTCAAATTGATTGGGGCCTTTAGTTGCTTAAATTTGATTTTGTTTATAATAACATGTAATAATTTTTTTTAACGAAAATTCATATGGATAGACTGAAGATATTAATCATTTTAATTTTTTTTTAATCTCAAACACACAAGTAGCCAAATAAAATAAAGAATTGAACATTTGATTTCATTTTTTTTATGTAAAAGACTCCCCAAAAAGAAAAAATAATGATGTCTAACCGAATTTTAAAGCTTCTATTATTTATAAAAATAGATATTATGATGGCTCACTTCCAAGTAATTAAAAATAATCAGTATTGTTGCGTGTCATCAGTTTGACTATAAGCTCGCTGAAATCGGAGATCATATGCTCCCGAAATTAATTTTTGAAGTTTCCAACTAAGTTTTGCCTCGAGATTCGTGCCCAATCAAGATTATTTTGTGATGACGTATCAAGTATGATTTTTCTCTTAAGCAACTAATAAAGTTAGCAAGGTTATTATTAAAAATTGATATAGGTTTCGTTTGAGATAGCTTTTTTATCAATTTTAAAATAATTTTTTTTTTACAAAAATTAGTTGAAATATAAATTTCAGCACTAAAATGCTGATTTAAAAAAAAAAATGTATTCTTTTATGTGAAGCCTCATTCCCTATGCTTTTATCTGAACCATCCAACTATCTTCAAAGTTAGATATCTTGTGATCATCAACAAAAAGCAAATCAAATCAAGCTCTCATCATAGGCTCATCAAGAACATAACCAACAAAACTCCTCACATGATCTACACCTAGAAACTTTCTATCAACTTATTCATCCAATCTTTTCAAAATAATTCACCTAGTTAAGCCCAACAATCTAACCGCACTATCGCTAAAATAACTAGAATGCCTCTAAAGTTTGCACAATGATGATGACGCCTTCCTCGATCACTTAGACATAAAATGATGTGCTAAGACAAATCTCATGCCAATATGGTTTGCATGTTAACTCCACAAAGTAACAAATTGATAATACAGATAGCCACTAAGCATAATTAATGGATATGTTTAGGCCTGTCTGTATAAAGGAGGATCACTTTGACTCCCCCACAATAGGAATGTCATAACCACATGAATTCCCATCACTCTAATGTTTAGTACAATATTTATAATATTCTCTTATTGATGGGTTCATAGTATCTTATGCAATTATTCAAATCAACATCATTCCATAAGCTATTGAAATCTTTGTCACATTATTCATAAATTAATTATGATGTTAAATAAGCTAGCAAACTATGATAATAATCTACATAATATGTCTATAGATTCATGCACACACATAAATTCCTATGCAATATGTTGACAATTTAGAGAATTTTTATCCTAAAAATTTCAATTAATATCACCTCGATGGGTCGAATAAAATGTTTCAATTATAAGTCTTCTAATCACCACTAATATCAACATTAATTTCAATGTCCCACAAAAAATATAATATCACCCACATATTATTCAATATTTTATTTAATATAGTAGTTTCATACAATCAATTTTATATAATCACAATACAATGAATTGAGTGGTGCTACATGCCATGGACAGTAAATTTAGACTTAGTTTAGGACGACTTTATTACTGTTTTTTTAAGTGACTTTTTAATGTAAAAGTTTTTTGAATTAAAAATTTTTGTACTAAAAAGTTGTTTTAGAAAACAGTAATATAGTCATCCCAAACGAAGCCTTAGGCTTTGTTCGGGACAACTTTTTTACTGTTTTCTAAAGTTGTTTTCTAATACAAAAGTTTTAGTACGAAAATTACGCACTGAATTCTTCTTCTGTTGATGATGTGCCTTACACCTACAATTTCTTCCAGATTTGTTTGACTAACCCACTTTGTTTGCGATTTTTATTTGATTTCTTCAAAGTTAGAAACTGATAAAGCTAATCAGGATGTAAGTGGCCCACCATATATATTCTTTCTTATTTACCTTTTTTTTTTTACATTTGAGTCAATTAAAAATAATTCTTGTATATAATTTTGAATCTAAAATCTTGGAATTAATAGCTAAAATTCTCAATCAATAAATCAGCTAAAATTTTCAATCAATAAATCATAAGCTACGTCTTACAGTGATTGCATTATAAGCTTTGATTGAGGTGATTATATAAATAACTCTCTCTCTCTAACTCTATGTATTCATATGGCCTCTAAGATGTTTATAACACCCCTATAATATTTTAGCAATATGTGATTAATTAGTATGTATGGACGTCGGAAGCCGAATGTCGTCTGGGAACCAACCAAAATATGCCACATCCGCAGCTCGGTACCACTAATGTGGCTACATCTAATTCGTCTCTGAATATACAGATGCATCCAACCTCCACACAGAATAATTGCGTGCTTATAATGAATGATCATGGGCCACTCATTGTAATACTCCACTAAATATCTAATGTATTTAGGCTTCGTTTGGGACGGCTTTTTTAGTGCTTTCTAAAACGGAGTTTTAGTACAAAATTTTTTATTTTTGTATTAAAACTCTGTTTAAAAAACAATAAAAAAATCGTCCCAAATGAAGACTTAAGCTTCTGTAGATTGAAACGCGTTTCTTTAAATTTTTTTGGTCATCCAATTAATTCCGCCGAGCAACGCGTTTCAATTATCAAACATTACTCTCTTTTATGTATGCGATTGTCCGTTTTTTTTTTTTTTTTAATGGCATTTGCCATAAATTTATATATCAAAAAGTTGTATTTAAGAGACATCTCGGCAGGTGTGCAAAAAAAATTTAATTTGAACAATAAGAAACTTAAGATAATATTTAAATTAAAACTTTTTCCAATTCAAATTTAAAATCTTTTGTACTCTGATTTTAATCAACTTATAGTTGAACTGAATATCTCGACGAGATGATCTCATCATCATCTCAAGTGAATCAATTTGAGTTCAATTAAACCAAATCATGCACTTAGGTTTCGTTTGATAATGCTTTTTTATTGCTTTTTAAGCTACTCTTTAGTACAAAAAATTAAAATTTTTGTACTAAAAAGTTATTTTAAGAAATAGTAAGAAAATCATCCCAAACGAAGCTTTAAAATATATTTAAAATCTTCAAGACATTACTTGAATGATCAAAACCTATTCAAATATTGTGTGCTTAAATCCAATCGAGTAAATTGATGGGATGAATCCAATAGGCACAACAACATTCATTTTTGAGATCAATAAGATATAAAATATTGAATAAACAATTTATGATCAATGTGGGAACGTTCAAAATCTTGTGATGTTTTTTTTATTTATTTTTTTATTAAGCCAAGTTTAATAAAAAGCTTTAACAAAAACTATAAAGATGAATCTTTTCTACCTGAAGGAGGTTAGAAAGTTGAGAGAGCTGAAGAGCTCTTTGCATCTCTTGAGTATTATTGCTGATGACCACCATCAACAATCGCAATTTGGGATTATCTTTGAAATTGTTTCCAAACAAGTTATAAATATTTTCGTAATAGCTAACAATCAATCGTTTAATCAAGGGCAGCACAATTGAGAAATCCTTAAGTAAAACACACCACTCTTAAAACATCGAGGCTCATTTTTGTATGGTTGAAACTTTATTAAAAAAACTCAACAGTTAAGCATGCTCGTACAAAAGAAATCATAGGATGGGTGACCTCCTGGTAAGTTACACCAATATGACAAAATTGTGAGGCCCTTAGGCCAAAACGAACAATATCTTGATAGTTAAAAGTTTAGACTGTTATAAATGATATCGGAGCAATATATATCCCGAAAGATGGCAATTAAGTGTCATACAAGACATAGTGTTATGCTATAGGAGCCACTTCTTGAACCCAGTATGGGATAAAATGCTATGTGGCGAGAGTCATCACTTATACTTGTAGGGGCCAACTCTAAAATCATATCTGCCTAGTGGGTGATTTCGGGATAAAGATGCTGACATGGATGTTAGTTACTTAAATATGAGATATTGGGAAAGCCTTAAG